CCATTACATATTTGTATTATTTTTACCAATATATAATAAAAAAGGAAGATAACAGGAATGCGCTTATTGAATTTCCCTGTTACTGTTGAACACACCAGTTTATTATTTATGTGTGTATTCTGGACCGGAGCAATGCAGTTCCTCACTCAAGTAGTCTCAGTTTAAATGTTTTAACTGCTTTCAATTATATTTTTTTATTAGGTTCGGTATCTAATCCGATTCCAGAAATTCTTTCAAATTAAAAATTTTATCGATAAATGTTATGATCTTATTTGAATTCATCGCCCGACTAGCGCTTACCACTCTTCCTGTTTCACACTAGTCAATCAGTGACGTGCCATGAAGTCAAACTAAAATGACACTGATTATCAGGCTGACGGGATTGTTTAATAAGTTGTTCTATCACTCATTGTAGACAAAGAGACTATTGAGAATTTGCCCTAGAACGCTGAGATGTTCTCCTCGGGAGCGATGTACTCCCTCTGCTACCGAATGCAGCAGTGCGGTTTAACAATCAGGTGGTTTCAGTTTCGGTTTCAGTTAAGACAACCGTTAAGCATGCGTTTTCGTGCGTACCTTTTGGTTGGTGTCCTTTGGCTGCCCATTTGGGTGAACAACAGGAGGAAAACAGGAAGGTTGGAAGTAGGATCGAAGAGAAAATTGAGAATTTCAGTGGACTAATGTTGCAGGAAAATTGACAAGATGCTCGAACGCCACTGTTTACGACACCCAGCCATATCATTCAGTGTCACTAACCATCGGTGACGATAAACCCGAGGTCCCCAGCCAGGGAGCCTAATGGGACCTATGTGACCCAGACTCCTGGTTAGGGTTTTCATACCCTCATTCCAGGTTCTCGTTTGACCGCCCTTGATCTTTATCCACCGACTATCTGCCTCGGCAGACATTGATAGCCGTGGCAATCTATCTGCTGACATGCGTAAAACATGCCCCAACCAAAGTAATCTATGGAGGTCGACCACTTGCTCCAGTGGGCGATCGCGGTTGCCTAAAACTTTGCGCCTGACCTCAGCACTGCTCGTCCGGCTGCCCCACCAGATTTGTGCAATGCTGCATAGACAGCGGTATTCAAACAGCGGCAGTTTTTTTCATCCTGTTCTCGTAATGGCCAAGTTTCTGCTCCATATAGCAGAATTGGAAGAACTGCTGCAGTATACAATCGAGCCTTCACAGACAGCCGGATGTCACGAAGGCTCCACGGATGCCTGAAGTTTGCAAGTGCCAACCGAGCCTTCTGTATGCGAGCTGACACTTCATCCGTAATGCGTCCACCGGGTGAACCAACCGAGCCTTCTGTATGCGAGCTGACACTTCATCCGTGATGCGTCCACCGGGTGAGAATCTGTATGCGAGCTGACACTTCATCCGTAATGCGTCCACCGGGTGAGATGTAGCTGCCCAAATAACAAAACTTACCCACCTACTCTATTATTTCCCCAGTTAGAGTGAATCTGGGTGCTGAACCAATCCAGTCTTGCAGAAGCATTTTACACCTTGAAGGTGCAAAACGCATGCTGAACATGGCTACGCTATCCAGAAAAGATTGCAACTTACCTGAATCTTCACTTAGTAGCACAATATCGTCTGCATATTCTAGATCAGACAGTCTCCCTTTTGGGAGCAAATGGATGCCACTATCCTCGCAAGAGGATAGGGCTGTTTCAAGAATTAAATCTATGACAAAGTTAAAAAGAAACGGAGAGAGAAGACAATCCTCTTGAACACCACTTTCCGTGGTGAACTCGGGCGAAAACGTGCCGTAAGCTCGAACTCGATTTTTGCTATGGGTATAGAGGGATTGTAACATTGAAATTAACTTCTCGGGCACACCATGGAAACATGGTGTGCCCGAGAAGTTAATTTCACTGCTCCAGAGTTTAGAGCGGTCAACTGAGTCAAAAGCCGCTTTCAGATCGAGTAAGATAGATATTTTGGGTCTAAGAAAAGAATGTTGGTGCTCCAGAATTCGGCGAAGAGTGAAGATGTGGTTGATACAACCTCGACCATGTCTAAAGCCAGCCTGGTTCTCACGCGTGCACTCTTCACGTGCGGCGGACAATCGACAGAGTATAATGCCAGCGAGAATCTTAGACGGAGAAGATAATCCAGGATTTCTCAATCTTGATAATAACCAAATAACATTTAAAAAACTTCACGCTCTTTCTCTCATTTAACATTCATTTGGGCAGTCTATTGTTCAATTTTGTTAAATTCTACTCTAAACGGCAAAACGATTGAGAGAGTAGATGAATTTGGCAATTTCGACAGATACATTTCCCCTGAAGGAAAGATTTCGGGTGAAGTGTCTCAACACATACAGGAGGCTCGATTGGCATTTGCTAACTCGTGACATCTCTGGCGCCGTCTAGAAAGCCGGATGTCTGTGAAGGGTCTAATGTATGTTCCAGCGATTCGGCTACCATGTGGGACTGCGATATGACCACTACGTGCGGAGGATAAAAACAATCCGTCGGTGTTCGAACGCCATCGCATTACATGAATCTATATTAGGTGGATAACCGAACAAGTCATATTGCCGTTAGGTGTTGAGTTTTAGATAATCGCGGTTACCCATCAGCGCAAATGCTTGACCTCCAGGGATTGTGTTGGCCGGGGTATGTGACGTATATAAGTCACCGAATAGAAGGCTCTCCTGGTGTATAGAGCTGTTTGAGACAGACAATATCTGCAAATATGTGCTGTGAATGTTTAAAACACCTTTCCAGTGGTTGTGGACACTGATTGATATTCTTCAGTATCGTGAACAGAAGCAATCACGCACGTATTCAATTTCTAGCTTACCGCTATCTTTTTATTGCGTTCAGCTTTAGTTTAATAGATCTGCTTCGTTCATTCATCAAATAAGCGGACAGCCGCAGGACAGTAACCAAACCGGCGCATAGAATTCCAAGGATTATTAGTTGTTCAAACTGAACTCAATGTTAATTACCATTCGTAATTAGATGTTTCCTTCCCTGTTGCCATTAGACTACTCATGAGTAGTATTCTGTGTTTATTTTTCCAACAGTTAGACTTTCGTTTTTTGTGCATCCCCGGCATCTATGGTCATAAAATTTATATATTCTGATAGCGTGTTCACCCACTGGCATAAAACGTTTCTGATCACTTGTTCTGCGAGTAAAAGCCTGCCGCCAGCAGGGCGCGAACCACAGACCACTCCCCTGGTCGACACCTGTCACTCCTACACCACACATGCTTACTGTGAACTTGTTTATTTTTTTTATCTCAGTGCTGCCCTCCGATATGCATATCTTTGATTCACACTGCTTCTGAGCATCGCATTCCGACTCGCTAATATTTACCGCACTTCATCCTAATCCACTGTAATTTATTTCTCTACCGCTTTATGTCGGAACTAAAGTGTATTGTAAGCCTTTTTCCATACCGTACCACAACCTCTCCCAGTTTGAACTTCACTGCTGCGCTACTGTTACGCTTAACTGTCTGCCGGGTAGACCTTGTTCCTACCACTGCTGTCATGGAATTTTATCGCTGCCCTGAAATTTGGTTGCTCATCTGACTGTAAGTTACTTTTTCTGTTTTATTACTAATGTACAATTTTAGAACCACGATTAATACCATTGTCGATAAACACTGCTACTCTAGTAGACTTCGTTCTGCTGCCCGTAGCCGTGCTCTGCCCCTATATAGCTATTCAAACCAAGTTATCGAGTAATTCCAGTCTGCTAAGGCGTGACAGCACACCCAACGTATACTGCGATTTGTTTCCATGTCAGTGGATTCGAATACTTATGTGCATTTATCGTCTTCAGCAGTTCATATCGATCAGTTTCTCTAACTTTCCTATTATTTATTTCCTAACTTCTTCACCGTTCAAGTCAACTTTCTCGTCTTCTATTTATCCCACTAATTAACTATGATGAATCTGGTTTCAGATGCGGTAAAATACATAGACACACTTAGATTTTCGAAAACAAACGCCCAAATGAATTGCTGCTTAATAGATACATACCAAACTTTATAATACCATGTGATGTAGTTTACATCTTCATATATCGGAAACAAACTTCTCCGGAACATTTAGCATTAACACTACAATATAGTTCGGTCAACAAAACCAATCATGAGACCTTTTGCCCATTTACGAACTAGAAACCTGAACGTCAATTAGTGAACGTGCAAAAACTACATGAATGAGAAAAAAGAGCAATTCAGAAATGATTTTATTAGACGAGAAATACCAAAACCACAGGTGTCCTGAAACTCTGAGTATAGGTTCTCTTCATTTAATGACTAGAATTCGGTTACTTTTAAATGTCATTCTCTTCATGACCTCGATTTTGGTCAGTCATGTGATATTCATGACGAACGGCATCTCAGTCGAAATACCGTTTGATAACAAATCGTTCAGGGAGTTAAATATCATCATTGGAAAGCAAACCACCACCATCATCAATACCGTCAGTGATAGTAACAACATCAAGCTTTGCGCGTTCTCTTTTCTACATCTTATTAGACTTTTTGGCTCACCAAATAGAGATTGAAACAATGGGCAACAAAACCGGAGTGTTGAATAACCTGGTCGATAGGTACCTAAAGTTAATTGAATTGAAGTGAACAAGAAACTAGACTCTAGGCAAGTCTGATTGTGTATCGAACTAACGAAACGTTTCGAAACTTATAACTGAATCAGGTCCCCTTCAGTGAGTGCTCTACCTATTCCGATTTACAATGTAAGCCTTATTTTGACAGCAATGCTGTTATTCAGATGATATGTGTATTGTTATTTTGTTCAAAATCATACATGAACAAAACGAGGATTAGATGAGTGTATCGGAAGAGAATGGATCCATGAACAAAACATGTAACAATCTGTCTGTTTGTCTCACTGTCTCTGTTTCCCATCCGGTAGTTACAAATACGAGGGAAAAGATCAAATGAGATAACCGTTAGATAATAGGGAAATGGGCACGAAGGCAATGAAACGAATTTCATGATCACCATGTTCCACCTTCTTCCGGTTCCTGAGAAAAATAACGGAAACGGAGAGCGATTGAAGTATTTAATTTGATTTAATGAATGCGATCAATGGTCGGAGGGATGGGACTCGGTTAGTTCGTAATGGCAATGGGGCAATCTAAACTCGGGAACCTGGTGGTGATGACTGATAGAATGGTTGCTGCTATAGGGGTCGGCAGCTGCGCGGCAAATCAGTGATTACGACAATCCCTAATTCGTCTCTTTTGCTCTATTCTTTAATTCCTTCCCCATTTCTCTATTTTCCCAGACAACCTTTGTATGCCCGCGGGTCCCTTCCTGGAAGTTGACTGTACATCTGTGTACTAATTGAATCAATAAAAAAATTTATTTTATTTTTTCGAATATCCCCGCGAGGTGGTTGATTCCATACCATGTCTTATTTTTACCAAAATGGGTTGTGCAAACTGAGAGCACTGAGAAGTGTGTGGCTTTCTACCATCTAAGACAATTGGTCTTATTCTTTCTATTTGAAAACATTATAACGCCGAATTTCACATTGAAATGCATCAGTTTCTCATTCTTTTTTGACCCGATCAATTTATTACACTTCAATCAATACGCTCAGAGAATAATTATGAAAAATTTCGGAAACTAAAACAAAAGCTGAAACAATTATTTTAGGCTCAAAAAGTATGAATAACTATTTGTGTGCAACAGCCAATAACACGATATAATTCAGACTTCAACTGACGTACTGTTGGTTTTTAAAAAAAATTTTTTTTCTCATTGAAAAGATATCACTTTTTTAACACTACTCATATGCATGAAACTAGTTTGAAGTTCATTCGATAATAAAACTTATGTAAAATAAATACAATTACTCCTCGGGTAAATATACTTCAGTGTAGTCACACATGGAACAAGTTTGGTGATAATTAGTCGTTCATCATTAATCACGGAACTCATTATTATTCATATCAAGTCCTGTGTTAAATTTGCCAATAAGATTCTAGACGACCCTCCTCGTACACTACATCCCGATCTATGATTTTGTCGTTTCCGTTCATTCACAAGCTCTTATTTTCGACATCTGCCCTCTAGTATTAACATTTATAAGAATCCCCCTGTACCCTACCTAACCCGACTCCTAACCAAAAATATCGTCATGATTTTTGTGCATGAAACAGACTTCGGCAACGTTCTTAAATTTGCATGTTATATATATATACATATATATATATATATATAACACCGGCTTTCGGACAAGCATGGTGCCAACGCCACAACAATAATAACACTAACGGGATGGGGGGTTGGGATGCAGAACAAAGTAAAGAAGACGGAACTGTTAAAATGGAAAATTACAAATGATTGAGATAAAAAAATGTTTGTCTGTTTCACCTTAAACTTTTTGAAATTTTTTGTTAGTTTTTCGCTATATGAAACTGCATATTTTATTATCGTGACGATCAGTGTACATTTTTAACCGAAGTGTAAGCATATAAGCTTACACAAATGATACAAATACAAAATACAAAAGACTAACCTGGTTGAGCTTTTTGAATTCCACCAGTTCATTGAAAATCACCTCCAGTATCATGCGAGCTGTACGCTTATCTGCTGGCAGTTTTCGTGAAACAGCCAATATATCACCGCATTCACGAACAAAATATTCCAAATCGTCCTCTGTGCCTGGGGATTAAAAAATAAACACACTGCTGTCACGCTACTGAGCATTATAGACAGTAGCACGAATTGCCGTTGCCATATTTTCCGTGGATAAATGTGGGTGTAATTCAAGNTCAAGAGTAAAAACTCATGTTACTTATCACATCATTTCAGCATTCACTGACTGCCCATCACATTTATTGAGTTGAGTTCCAATACTGAAGAAGTAATGATCGATACATTCAAATAGGTAAATCCACTGTTTAGGTGCATGTGTGTATCTCGGCGTACCATCAATCACCAATCAACTCTTTTGAAAAACACAGACAACTCAAAATGTCAGTTAACACAGCCTAAATTTGTAACATATAAGCGGACTTCTCATAATAATAACAATAACAATAATAATCAGCTCCCCGACTCTAGTGTGGTCTTGACCACGACAGATAAAAGTTTTTTTGGTTGACAGTTTACTCCTTATTCTCAGTCACTGTGTTTGCGCGCGCGTTTGATTTCAAAAGGATTTGCTTTTCTGAAACTACGCTAAGGTTTGGAAAACATTTTTCAGGTATTGGCTGGGTTGGGTTGTCCCAGCTCTCGATCTCACTCTAACTGGGAAAGTAATAGGGCAAGTGCACTAATTTCGTTAATTAGACAGCTGTGTCTCCCGGTGGGCGCATCACGGATGGAGTATCGGCTTACATACGGAAGGCTCCAATAAAATTTGCCAACTTGAGACACATCTAGCACCTTCGTGAATAGCCTAGTATGTGTTTCAGCAGTTCGGTTGATGTTACTATACGGTGCAGAAACTTGGCCGTTACAAAAGCAGGATAAAGATAGCCTGTCGGTGTTCAAGCACCGCTGTCTACACAGCATTGAACGAATCTGGTGGGGAAACTGGACAAGTAATGCCAGGGTTGGGCGCAGAAGTTTAGGTGATCGCGGTCACTCATTGGAGCAAACGATTAACTTCCATAGATTACGTTGCTTAGGGCATGCACTACGCATGTCACAAAATAATTTTCCACGGCGAGTTTTGTTTGTTGAGGCAGGTGATGGGTGGAGAAAAGTAGAGTGGTCAAACTAAGACTGGCATGAGGTTAGGAAAACCCTGACTAATCAAATTTTTCACATAAATAGCGCTAGATTCCCTGGATGAAGGCCTCGAGATCATTGTAACTAATAGTTAGAGATATTGAGTGATATGACTGAGTATCGTAAACAGTGGTGCTCTTGTACCATCCCAATTTGTTTACAAGGTCGGACTACCGAAATTCTTCTGTTCCTCTTCGATATTGCTTTCAACTTCCCAATTTTACTTATATATCTTCATTCAAATGGACAGTCAAAAGACAGCAACCAAAACCACCCCATAAAAGTGTATAATGAATGGTTGTTCAAACTGAAAGTTGAATGCATTCAGCACCCAACCCTCTTGCACAAAACCTTTGTAGTGAAGGTGGTGAGTTTATAAAGTAGGGAATAACCAATGCCATAGGAGAATAATCTACACAAAAACAGGGAAACCACGCATGGCGCCTTTGAAGTTGAGTGAGTTTGTCTAAACACGGTATTCATTATAATTTGCCCTATTATTGCAAAAATACAGTTTTGTTTTAGAATTTCCTGTGATCAGGATTTATATCTTGCGAGGTGAAACGGAGTACAAATGATCTATCCTCAAGTCGTTGATAAGGAAACGGTCACCTAAATTTTGATTTTGCGTAAATAAGACGGGTTTGTAGTCACAACAGGTGAATATCGGTAATGCCCAAGAACACAGCGGATTCTAGTCTTCCAAACATCCTCCTATAAAATGCCATAAGAGTGTGAAGACAGTACTGTGAGTTATCAAACGCATAATGTCACTAACAAGGGCTTTGCAAGTTATCCAGTTCCATAAATTAGTCAAGGCTTTACAGTAGTTACTGAACTAAGCTACTGGCTACCGGCTTACATTAAACAACTCCACAATCTTTCAGATTGTTCCTGGATGTGTAAACTAAGCTAAAATGAAAAGTCCGACAGAATTAGAGGAACAACTTGCAATCCTATCTCCGAGAATCTGTGTGATTCCATAGGTTTCATGGGGCTTGTCAATCTTCTAGTAAGAGGTAATTGTGTGAAATTGAGAGTCAGTATATTTGTTGTGCCTTTTGCAACGATTGGTAGAAATAGTTTCGTTTCTGTAAGATACGATCGGGGTAAGAATCAAACCTGATGAAAGCAACCCGGTAACAGAACAGAGTTCATACATGTAACATCATAGGTGTTAAATCACGCTTTACAAATATGCGTATAAGGTCGACTGTAGGACTCTTTTACACAAACGGATAGTTGATATGGGCAATAAAAAGTCAAACTTACATTTATTGGTGACTTGAGCCAATCGTGATTTTGAGGTGGAAAATTGTTCGTCAAGATCAAATAATTCCAAAGCTGGAGGACCCGGTTCCCGAAAGTTAGGTGGAAACACCTAGACAGAGAAATTAGGCGATTAAACCTTTTTGCTTTTCGTAGGAGAGTTTCATGTTGTCAGGTAACACGACGAAAGCTACTCAAAAGTACGGACACCAACTGAATGTCTTATTGCCACATAATCGGACAAACTGCAAAACTGTTCATTTTAAATTTTGTTGCGAAGGTAGAGCTGCTTACTGACAAAATAATTTCTGAAATGTATCGAAACAGTGTTTTTCTTGACAAATGCTCGAACGGCATTGACTGAACTTCAAATTGTAAAACGATCATGTGTATCGGTTAGGCACAAACCCACAAATATGGACGCCATCTGCCCCTTTGTGTGACGTGCGCTCTACCAGATGAGCTATTAAGCAACACAAACATACTTTGATCTTTTCTCATTTAACCGCCAGTCTCATTCACAGAGACTCAAGAAATCTAACATTCAGTCCGTAGGCCTTAATTCAGACTGTTTTTGTCTGAATCAGGTTTTTCACTTCTGTAGATATTTGTGGAAAACTGGACTTCCACGAGACTTAAACAATTTTTGTTTGCGGCGACAAATAAAATAAATTTCATCCATCCCATTAATAATCCCTTAAGGGAAAATACATGATTATGACAAAATCAATCATTACTTAGTGGGTGTCTCGATAAACGACGTGCAAGTTACGGTTGTATATTTCTCATAGGCTCATCAAAGGTCTTTATTCACTTCGCACACGTTCACGGTATGATTTGTTTCAGCTAGGTGTGAAACCACTGCACTGGTGAGTGACTTAATCGTTCCGGTGTTCAACCACGCGGGGTGGTGTTTACAAATCCGTTCGGACAATCGCCTGACCGTGCGGCCTATGTACGTTGTTCCACAGGAACAAGTAAATGAGTATACACAGAATGAGACCACAGAGTCTGGAACTTTGTCCTTCAGTCGCAAACACACAATTGGCCTGGACGTGAACAGCACACGGAGCTTAGATGCATAGAAAGTCTTATAGGTTGCGTCAGATAAGTTGACGGAAAAGGATAAGACAGCTCAAATAGAAGGGGCGCTTTCCAAGATTTTGCGATGCTTAAAGCAGAGAGGAGTCATTGATGCATCCCCTTTCGAACGTACGGTC